GACAATAGTGTCATTTTTTAAAAATATACACTTTACCCCAAATAAATTTTTGTGTTATACTTTTGTTTAAATAAGTCTAAAAAATTGTATCGACTTTCAAATCACCCAAAAAATTATTGTTCAAAAGAGTTTTTCATCTACATATAATTTAAATTTTGTAATTAGGTTACTCGATCGTTAATTACAAACCTATAATTTTTTACTATCATTTCACGAAAAATTGGATTTTATGATTTTTTTTTCAAAATCAAATTACACAGTTTTGTGAAAAAAAATAATAATTAATTAATGAATGACAAAAAACAAGACATGAATGTCCCCTGTAATTTCCGGTGAAAAAGTGGTCGGAGACGATAAACAGTTACTGAACACTGTAGGTGACGATGAACAGTTGAACCGTAGGAGACGATGAACAATACTATTGTATTCCTCTTTTTTTTGGACGATGAACAGTCATAATTATGACATTCCCATGGCTATAGGATCCCTTTTGTCGAAGAAGAAGTGATTAGATAATTAAAGCTCCTATTTTTTAACTCCCATTAGTTGATTGTTGCCACAATTTTCGGTAGGAAATCAAATGATTTCTACCCATCTGCACTTTACCGAATGACAATAGTGTCATTTTTAAAAAATATGCATTTTTTTTTAAATAAGTTTTTGTGTTATACTTTTGCCTAAATAAGTCTACAAAATTATACCAACTTCTAAATCACCCAAAAATAAAAGCTACAGAAAGCCCGATCCAGAATACTTAATCCAGACTTCAAGGCCCAGCCGAATTCAGAATTTTCTCGCATTGTATAGGACCTACCTAAATCCTGTCCCAACATAAAAAAGCTCGTCAAATCAACTGAAATATGGGCACTATTATGGATATTAGTGGAAACAGAAATAATAAATTGTAAAGGATTTATTATTATGAATATTTTAGATCCGACGTGAATAGTCTTTTTTTGATCAAACTGAGAAAAATAATTAATTGAAATGTACATAAAATAATATGGATACTTTTGACTGTTGAACTAAAACAAAAAATACTTTGCAAAGCAATGTTGAAGAGGTCAATAGGTTTGTCATAATTTTACACACAATTTGCCAATTTTACATAAATTAGCACTGTTAAATTTAACTTTAATGAGATTGAATGGTAAATAGATAGACATGTTAAGTAAATAAATAGATACAAATCAGATTTAACATACTTTATGTACGACACAAATTTATAACATGAATCTGTTCAATAAATAGGTAGGAATGTAAAATGAGTAAATTTTGAAGAGCACATAACTGTCTATGGGTAGGAATCCATCAATTTTTCTCCTTGACATTATCTAATAAAGGGATTTTGAAATGTGGTTCTTAGTTTTGAATGTTGTAATTAACCACCTCTTCTTCGTCTTTCTATATATATTTTGACCCTGTAACCACCACCTATGAAAGGCTAGTTTGATTCTCTTCGCATTAAAAAAATAAAAAAAGGGGGGGGGGGTCAAATTTATATTTTATTAAAATTATTTTAAATTTATTTTATTTACCAAGCGGGTTCGACGAGTTACTCATTTATGACTCGAATTATTACATTGGTCTTGAGTAATAATTTCATATTTAATGGACTTGTGTGTGTTGAAGTATCTGTAGTTTTCTTACCTTGGAAAAAAAGCGATGTCCTTCCTTCCTTCCTTCCTACCCACCCATCAATCNTTGAAGTATCTGTAGTTTTCTTACCTTGGAAAAAAAGCGATGTCCTTCCTTCCTTCCCACCCACCCATCAATCGGACGGGACGGGACGGGACTGCACAGGAAGGTTTCGTAGTCTTTACTTCCATGAAACATAAAGCTTCCCATAACCTTGATTTTTTTGGTCCCAAGTCCCAACTAATCATTCCTAAGAGGCTTAATGGGGTGGGGCCTCAACTACTGCTTTTTGGTTGGTTAGTTGTTGAGGAAATATTAAGAAATATCAAGTGTTTAACATCTAGATGTAAAAGTAATTTAGACAATTTTATTTTGAATCTGTTGTGATTAAGTTATATATTTGGCATGAAGAGAGTGTTTGGGAGAGATGACCAAGTTTGAATTCACAACTTTAATGTTCAACGGCAGGACGGTGGCTAGCTAGTGATAAGGTTCGAACTCATGATCTAGAGTTATTAAGAAAATTGAATTAGTTCGATTCATACCCTAGTTTATATGTGAATATTCTTTGTTAACATTGGGGTGGTTGGGTATATCCCGGAATATGATAATTATACTTTAATTTCCTATGAGATTTTCTTTTTCTTCTTTAGTACTTTTTTAATCAATATTAATAGTTTAATTTTAAATAAATTATGCTACGTTTTGTAAAAACACACCGCAACAACAGTCTGAGAATTTTTTTTATGTCAAAATTGATAATTTTCTTTGTCAATAGCAACTGTGTGTGTGTGTGAGAGAGAGAGAGAGAGAGAGAGAGAGAGAGAAGCAGTGTCACCTCCTCCGGCAGCCCCTCCCCTCGAGGCATTACATTGTCGGATGCTTACTCTATTCTTACCAAAAAAATTATCAGCAAATTCAATTATTTGGATATGAGAAGGAGTTTCGAGTTTTTTCACTCACAAAGTTATAAATATTGATGGGTTCGGTTTCCCTCTAATTTCATAAGAAGTAAATTCTATTAAAAAAATGGTCAAGTTCATAAACATTAATAGATTCAAAAAATATATTAAATTTTTGAAATTCAAAATCAAACGAATTTGTTCATGTGTATAAATCATGAACTATTCAAAAACAGAATTACAAGATCTTCTAATTCTTAACGAATTTGAGTGGAGTGTAACATCGTATGGATTGACATAAGACATGATTAGTAAACATGTTAGTTCAACCTGACAAAACATGCCCCATATTGGGACATCACCAAGCTGGCTCCTCCAAATAATTCCTACCTAGCTTAATTATATGAATAAAACTGTAATTCGAGACGAATTGTAAATTCAGACAATATAAATTCGAATATTAACAACCAGTTGTAATAAGAACATGAAATTTATCTTTTATGAATACCTTAATCTTAACTTGGATGATCTTGTCTTTGACAAGACCGATGAGAGAATTAAGTGAGATATATATAAACTGATCCAAATACTCTTGACTATTTAAGTCATTGAAAACGAAAACCATTTTTATTCATTCAGTGACAAAAATCATAAAATAATACACAAATTAAACTAAAGTAATATGGGCAGACTTAGGAAAAGGTAATAGAAAAATAGTTCAACGATCGTGTCCCTTCACATCAAACAACCAATTTTCTCTCCAAGTTGATGCAATTAGTACGACTTTCAAAAAGTATTCAAGTGTCATTTGAGTTTGAGTTTAGCTTGCAAGCTGGAATGGATTACGATTCGCCGAATTTGAGCTTGAGTTGAGTTTAAATTCTTAGTCAAACTCGATTCAACAAAAATTTACTTGCGTGTTAAACCCGAGCTGAAAATTGATCTCAATTTTTTTGTAAATATTTTTAAATATAAAATTTGCAAGTATCTATTAGAGAAGAAAATGTGAGATAAGTATATATTGTCTAGAAGATTCAAACTAGTTGAAGAGAAGTTTGGGGTGGTTCTTTTTTGATTAGCAAGTTGTTCTCTAATAGAATGAGAAACATAGTCTAGTGGAGTCTATGTGTTGTTCAAGTTTGACTTTTTTACAAAACACTCTGAATAACCTAATTAGGTATGGTGCAGTTTACAATTTGAGCGAATTTAAACGAGTCAAATTAGAGTTGAATTTCAGCAAAGTTCAAGCTGCATATATCGCTTGACAGTCTCATGCATGTACACAACACCCTGATGCAAATTGTGAATGACGGATTTGAATATATATATATATATATTTTTATTTCTGGAAAAATTAATCATATGTAAAGCTACTACTAATTATTAATTGAACAATAACATTGTATTAATTTTTCCTATTATTGCTCATAAAAATAATAGGACGAACTATAGACCTGAACATCAAGGGTTTGATTTTTATTAGTGTCTCTTGAATTTAACTGATACACGTGATTTGTGGGTGATTGTAGGTATCCAAGATTTATTCTCGCAAGGAGAGCTTTGAAGTAACCTTACATTGAAGAAATTTCTCGTTAATAAAAAAGAAAAAAAAAAGTAGCATCATTTTTAATTAAGTGTCCAAATCAGATCTAAATCTTTTCAATTATATTTTCATTCAATTTTGGTCAATAGTAAAAATAGTGGGTCTTACTAGAATTTGTAGTAAATGATTTATCATTGAGCGAAGCTATAATAGAAAAAATCTCAATTCAACCCAATTGAATTTGGTTTCATGAGTNTCTCTCTCTCTCTCTCTCTCACACACACACACACATGTACTAGGAATCTTACTAATTAATGATGATTAATATTTACTTTTCCTCGATTCAATGATTATGCATGTGTACAACTTTGTAATTAACATGGAGGATGTTTGGTTGTTGAGCAATNGATTTATCATTGAGCGAAGCTATAATAGAAAAAATCTCAATTCAACCCAATTGAATTTGGTTTCATGAGTTTTTTTTTTCATTTATTTTTGTCTAACTTCGTGAGTTTATTGGCCTGAACAGTAATGCACACATGCCTCGACCACTTATAGGTATTTTATGGTTGGATAGGCTTGGGATGCCGAATATGCAACTTTAATTTGTTACGTTATGTACTAGTTTGTGTGGTATGTATTATGATATTTTGTGTTTTTGGTATTATCCTTCATTTTTTTTTGTTGAATTGTAATCATAATATTCCTCCGCTACAAATAAATGTAATTTAATAAATTTCAGAGGTACTGTCATTCTCGATAATACAATTATGATTTAATTTATTGATATAATTTATTTATTTAATTCGTCACAATTGTTAGATAAGTTGTGGACCTCGTTAAATTGTTAATCTAACAATTATAAATAATTAGATTAAAAAATTGGGTGAGTACTATTACGTACTCAAGGGCTGAAAATGCTGGTGCAACGGTGGAAGCCCTTCCTTTATTCACGGATCTACCATACTTCACAACAACAGGTCCCTTCATACTGGAATTGAAAACGACTCAGAGACCAACATGGGAAAGCTTTGAAATCTCTTCTCTCTCTCTCTCTCTCTCTCTCTCTCTCTCTCTCTCTCTCTCTCTTTCATGGCTTTCGAGAGGTGAAGTTGTTAGAGATTGATTAGAAGAAAAAACTGAGAAAGACAACCCTCCAGCCACCAATTACCAAACCAAAGCAGTTCCAAGAAGACAACTCCATTTCACCAAATCTCAATAAACAAAGACTAATACATGTTATTCACTCTCTCATCCATGTTCTTTTCTTTCTCTATATTTCAAACTCGTTCGTCTCTCTCCCTTCCCATCAATCCTCTCAGATGCAGCCACCACGCCGGAAAACGTCACTGTTCTTTACAGGAAAATTCACAATGAAGCACGCCGGCGGTGGCCGCAAAAACAATAACCTCTCGGTCTTCGTTGTGGTCTTCTCTATCTTCCTCTTTGGATGCTTCATGTACAATGAAGACGTGAAGTCCATCGCGGAGTTTCCATTTTCGAGTCCCAACATTCAAGAAACCCAAAAAGAATCATCCAAAATACACAACCTAGTTCAAGAAACTAACAAGAAAGCCGAGAAAGACACAGTTCCAGTGTTGATGCGTTCAAGAACTATAGTGGAGACAGAAGTAGAGAATTCTCATAATAAACAAGAAGCAGTGGGTTTGAAAACAGAAGTAGAGGATTCTGAAGAACAACAAGAAGTTGTTAGATTGAAGATAGATGTAGAGGATTCTGAACAAAAACAAGAAGGTGTGAATTTGAAATCCACGGAAACGAAAGAAGAAGAAGAGGAAGAATTAGATGATAGGAAAATTAAATTACCAGGTGAAGAAGAAGAAGATGATGAAGAGATTGAATTTCCTCCTGAAGATTGTGATCTCTATACAGGACAATGGGTTTTTGATAATATCACTCATCCATTGTACAAGGAAGAAGAATGTGAGTTTCTCACAGAACAAGTGACTTGCATGAGGAATGGAAGAAAGGATTCACTTTACCAGAACTGGAGGTGGCAACCCAGAGATTGTTCAATGCCCAAGTAAGAATTTCAATAGAATTTGTCCACTACGATTGTTTCTTGATTTTTTTTTCTCTGTGTTTTTGTTAATGTTGATGATTTGATTTGGTTAAGGTTCAAACCAAAATTGTTGCTTGAGAAGCTGAGGAACAAGAGGCTTATGTTTGTTGGGGACTCGTTGAATCGGAACCAGTGGGAGTCTATGGTTTGTTTTGTTCAATCCGTCGTTCCCCCGGGCAAGAAGAGCTTGAACAAGACTGGTTCTCGAAATATTTTCAGAATTGAGGTCTTTCTCTCTCTCTCTCTCTCACACACACACACATGTACTAGGAGTCTTACTAATTAATGATGATTAATATTTACTTTTCCTCGATTCAATGATTATGCATGCGTACAACTTTGTAATTAACATGGAGGATGTTTGGTTGTTGAGCAATTGTATGTATATATGTATCTAAGTCTATATATTTATGCATTTCGGACATAAAAATACAATTTTGATGTTGCCATTATTATAATAATTAGAGAGATTTAAATGCACATAATCTTATCTCATATGTTAATACATAAATTGCTTTCACAATTCAAATTCTTGATCTCAATAAAATAATCTTACGAATGCTTGAAAATCCATCATCATATATTATATGAATTTGTTTATTTATATGCAATATGACGTAAACCATACTAACATATCACCTAATATAGTTGGTAAGATCGGTGGATTAGGTAGGGACTCTCTTGCTTTACTATGGGACATGATCATCCCTTACTTCATTCGTTCAGAATGACGGGATGGTTGACGTTTTTTAGTATTCCTTTGCCTTTGTAGGATTATAATGCCACAGTGGAGTTTTACTGGGCCCCATTTTTGGTGGAGTCCAATTCCGACGATCCTAAAATGCACAGCATATTGAACCGTATCATCATGCCCAAATCAATCAAAAAACATGGCATTAACTGGAAGAATGTGGACTACCTCATCTTCAACACATATATATGGTGGATGAACACTTTCACCATGAAAGTTTTGTAAGTATTACATAAATTCTTCCTGTCTTCCTCCCGTCTCCCCCCAACCCACAACCCCTTTGTTTTTACGAGGTCCGTTTGTGGGACAATTAGGTTAATTTTTTTACGTCTTTGGGATAATCGAAACAGACGAGGATCGTTTGATCATGGTGACACAGAGTACGATGAGGTCGATAGGCCGGTTGCATATGGGAGAGTATTGAGGACATGGGCCAAGTGGGTGGACAAAAATGTGGATCCCAATCGTACCACAGTCTTCTTCGTGAGCATGTCTCCTCTTCATATCAAGTAATACACACATCTTTACTTTCAGTTAATTTCCAGAAAATTTTACTTTGGACTCGTGGCTGCAATGCATATATATATTCGACTAAAAACACGTATCCTAAGTATTAAAGCTCTAATTAGTTCCCTAATGCTCCGGGGTACGGTGGATCAAGTGGAGTAGTTATCCCAGTAGGTAATAGAGGACAGTGGACACTGAACCCTGGGCATCATGATCATTGACTTTAGAGTTCTTTTAATATTAAGTTTGGTAAACCAACATGGCACCATTACTTGTTTAATGACTATCATAGATTTATTTATTTATTTACCTTGTTTAATTATCATATTATTTCCTAATTATAATATGATTAACGTTTTTCGATCGTGCTCAAAAATGTAACAGGAGCTTGGACTGGGAAAACCCTGATGGCATCAAATGTGCAAAAGAGACTACCCCAATTCTTAACATGTCCATGCCATTAAACGTGGGCACAGACCGTCGACTCAATGCAGCCAATTTGATTAAATCAATGAAGGTGCCCGTCCACTTCATCAACATAACCACCCTCTCTGAGTACCGGAAAGATGCACATACCTCGGTCTACACCATCCGACAGGGCAAGCTGCTCACCGATGAGCAGAAGGCTGACCCGGTCAATTTTGCTGATTGTATACATTGGTGTCTTCCAGGCTTACCCGATATGTGGAACGAATTCCTCTACACTCGTATAATTTCTCGCTCTTGACACAAAAACTCCATGGCAGTCCCATCAATTTTTTTTCTTGCCTTTTTTCAATATAAAATTAAAAATTTTATTTTAGTTTGGTATTTTTTTCATATATATATATATTTTTTTGTTTCCCTTGTAAGGTTCATACCATGTTCCGGTTGTAGAATTTTAGTCATTGCTTCTGGTATTGGACCAGTAGCTTTTTTTTGATCTTTTGTTCAGCCCATTTGACTGAGGGTGGCAGTTGGGTGGGCAGTTCGAGTATCTGCTAATTGGGTTGAAGATGAAGAATGTGATGCAAACATACAACCACCTGAATTGTATAATGACTTAGCTGGAAAATAAATAAAAGTGAATACAAAAGTGTAACTACACTTGAATTTCAAGTTATATATCTATTGTTTGATAATAATAGGTATTATATTTACTTACATGTACGTCTAGGCATATGCACCTCTTGAATCTTATATGCAAATTTGTTTTGTTGTGTACCTATATTCAGTTCGCACTTGTGTAGTCATAATCTTGTGATTAGCATGGTAATCGAATCACTGGGTCATATCATCTCATATCTGAGTTATGTTATTGTGAATTCACAATGAGTATTATTATAATCTAAACCTTATTCCTTTAATTAAGTGATGGTATCCAATGTGCTCGAGTCAATCTGAAGTGTTTATTGATTATATTGTGTTCGAATCGATGCACAAAATATGTGAACTAGAAAGCCTAGATTGAGACCAATCTCTTTCCACTAAACCCAATACTCAAGGCTCCCCACATAAGACAAGGTTGAAGAGGGTAAATCTTTGGTCTATAAACCGATCCTTCAACTCATACACCAATTAAATCTGGACTTGCGCTTCAGTGAGAATTTGAACCCACACTAGAATTTGTCCAACTAATCGAGGTCCGTTCTATCAACCAATCACGTTTTTTGTCGCCTAAGAGACTTAAATCCTTAACCTCGTGAAAGTTGATCCTTCTCATAAAGCAATGGGTATAATTGGATAAAGGATCATTGGTCCGGATTGTCCATGTTATAACAGGTGATGCTTTCCTTCAGTCCACTCGAATTGCATCCCAAATTGTGCGGTTTTATTATTTTCACTGAATAAGTAGTATATAACACCTTATTCAAAGTAATGATATGTAAATGACGAAAATAATAACTCAAACAATTATGAGTAACTGAGAGAATCATGGAATCTATTTTGTGATTGCACATATTAAATATGATCTGAAGAATCAGTTAGCTCCTTAATCATGTGAGATAATTGTATTAAACACATCAATCATGGGATCTTCAACCCTAATTGTCTGAAAAAGTAAAATTTCTTTTTCTTTGTGGAGGTATGTCTGCTTCTGTGAATAAACCTGGAAGACCAAATACTGATTTTAAATAAAAATGTAATTTTTCCTTAAATGATGTGATATTATCATAATAGGATAAATTTAAATTTCAAATGTGTAAAAGTAAGGAAAATATTTATTGCAACGGTGATACCATGTCAGCATTATCACGTAGTAGCACCAATTAACAATGTATAAACAAATAAGAAAACGAACTTCACACAAATTAATAATTACTTGTCCGTGCATGTATGCGAATAATTACTCACTCTTCTACTATGTAAGTCAATAATTAATCGAGTGAGATTCATTTTATCCATTTATAATTTTATTAATGGTCGATAATATTACCGTTGAGTTGAATATTTCTCGTAAAAATAAAACTAACAAATATTATTGTAATAATATCATATATCGTTTGGTCTTTATTTTTTGCTCCTTTTTTTCAGTTAGTCCATCATTACTCACCATATATTGGCCTTGGAAGTAGGAACCTACTAGCTAAAAAGCAGCCTTACCAATTCTCTTTCATTTTCTTTCATTTTCCTTCATTTTCTCAACCATGTCTTCAACCAGTTACTTCTGTTTTGGTTTTTCTCTTCTGTTATTGCTTCACAGCGCTGTGTCAATGGACTATGGGGCAGCTCTCACCAAGTCTTTGTTGTACTTTGAAGCTCAAAGATCTGGAAAACTACCTCCTAACCAGCGGGTGCAATGGCGAGGTGACTCGGCCCTAAACGATGGTAGAGATGCTGGGGTAATTTTTATCTCACTTCTATTGTTGTTTATATTGCTGTTTTCTAATGAAAAAATAGTTCCGAACACATAATTTTTACCATCACCCGATAATCACATGCATTAGTTAAACCTAAATTTCATCTTACCTGCCAGAGGATTCGAACTTATTATATATCTTTCCATTGTAGTGTTATATTGTTGTTTTCTAATGGCAAATCGTGGCAAACATGTATCTTTTAAACTCACAAATGTAATGTTTTGGAAAAAAGACTCGTGAGTTTATACAATGACCCGATAATCACATGCATAAGTTAAACCCAAATTTCATGTTACAGGATTAGAAATTATTATATGTGGGTTTCTATCTGCCATTGTTCGACCACTAAATCAACCGTTACATGTTTATTTATTTTTTTCTTAATTAGGGTTTTTATGATTATAACAGGTGGATCTGTTGGGAGGATATTATGACGCTGGAGACGATGTGAAATTTGGGTTTCCGATGGCATTCACTGTGACCATGCTGGCATGGGGTGTGGTGGAGTATGGGTCACAACTCCAAGCCAAGGAGGAACTCTCAAATGCTTTGGAATGTATCAAGTGGGGAACAGACTACTTCATAAAAGCTCACCCAGAGCCTAATGTCTTTTATGGTGAAGTTGGTGATGGTGATTCTGATCATAGCTGCTGGCAAAGACCAGAAGACATGACAAACACTAGAAATTCGTATAGGATTGATGAACAACATCCTGGAGCCGACCTCGCCGGGGAAACTGCAGCTGCTTTTGCTGCTGCAGCTATAGCTTTTAATGGGTCAAACCCAAGTTATTCTTCTCAACTTATCACCCATGCAAAACAGGTCTCTCTCTCTCTCTCTCTCTCTCTCTCCAATTGAGAGAATATTGAAAAGATCAAGAATTCTCACTATATCTTCAATTCATGGACTCAATTCAATTACAGTGGAACTTTCATTCACATTTTTTGACAACGAAAACGTTTATTATACTTTATGACTCATGATTTGGACTACCACATGCTTCCCACTCCTAATTTGGACTATCATATACTATCATAAACAATTAAATTTTCGCAATCAAAAGTATAATTTCGTTATACTTTTTGTATTAGAGGTCCTTACATATCATATTAACAATCAAAAAATGGTTGAATCTATTCAAAAGAAGTAAATGTAAAAGTGTTTGTAAATAGTCTCATAGAATATTGATATGTTCTGTGGTCATTCAATTGCAGCTATTTGATTTTGCAAAAAATCACCCTGGACAGTACCAAAACAGCATCTCAGTGGCCGGAAGCTTCTACTTAAGNTTTTTTTTGTTTCCCTTGTAAGGTTCATACCATGTTCCGGTTGTAGAATTTTAGTCATTGCTTCTGGTATTGGACCAGTAGCTTTTTTTTGATCTTTTGTTCAGCCCATTTGACTGAGGGTGGCAGTTGGGTGGGCAGTTCGAGTATCTGCTAATTGGGTTGAAGATGAAGAATGTGATGCAAACATACAACCACCTGAATTGTATAATGACTTAGCTGGAAAATAAATAAAAGTGAATACAAAAGTGTAACTACACTTGAATTTCAAGTTATATATCTATTGTTTGATAATAATAGGTATTATATTTACTTACATGTACGTCTAGGCATATGCACCTCTTGAATCTTATATGCAAATTTGTTTTGTTGTGTACCTATATTCAGTTCGCACTTGTGTAGTCATAATCTTGTGATTAGCATGGTAATCGAATCACTGGGTCATATCATCTCATATCTGAGTTATGTTATTGTGAATTCACAATGAGTATTATTATAATCTAAACCTTATTCATTTAATTAAGTGATGGTATCCAATGTGCTCGAGTCAATCTGAAGTGTTTATTGATTATATTGTGTTCGAATCGATACACAAAATATGTGAACTAGAAAGCCTAGATTGAGACCAATCTCTTTCCACTAAACCCAATACTCAAGGCTCCCCACATAAGACAAGGTTGGAGAGGGTAAATCCTTGGTCTATAAACCGATCCTTCAACTCATACACCAATTAAATTTGGACTTGCGCTTCAGTGGGAATTTGAACCCACACTAGAATTTGTCCAGCTAATCGAGGTCCGTTCTATCAACCAATCACGTTTTTTGTCGCCTAAGAGACTTAAATCCTTAACCTCATGAAAGTTGATCCTTCTCATAAAGCAATGGGTATAATTGGATAAAGGATCATTGGTCCGGATTGTCCATGTTATAACAGGTGATGCTTTCCTTCAGTCCACTCGAATTGCATCCCAAATTGTGCGGTTTTATTATTTTCACTGAATAAGTAGTATATAACACCTTATTCAAAGTAATGATATGTAAATGACGAAAATAATAACTCAAACAATTATGAGTAACTGAGAGAATCATGGAATCTATTTTGTGATTGCACATATTAAATATGATCTGAAGAATCAGTTAGCTCCTTAATCATGTGAGATAATTGTATTAAACACATCAATCATGGGATCTTCAACCCTAATTGTCTGAAAAAGTAAAATTTCTTTTTCTTTGTGGAGGTATGTCTGCTTCTGTGAATAAACCTGGAAGACCAAATACTGATTTTAAATAAAAATGTAATTTTTCCTTAAATGATGTGATATTATCATAATAGGATAAATTTAAATTTCAAATGTGTAAAAGTAAGGAAAATATTTATTGCAACGGTGATACCATGTCAGCATTATCACGTAGTAGCACCAATTAACAATGTATAAACAAATAAGAAAACGAACTTCACACAAATTAATAATTACTTGTCCGTGCATGTATGCGAATAATTACTCACTCTTCTACTATGCAAGTCAATAATTAATCGAGTGAGATTCATTTTATCCATTTATAATTTTATTAATGGTCGATAATATTACCGTTGAGTTGAATATTTCTCGTAAAAATAAAACTAACAAATATTATTGTAATAATATCATATATCGTTTGGTCTTTATTTTTTGCTCCTTTTTTTCAGTTAGTCCATCATTACTCACCATATATTGGCCTTGGAAGTAGGAACCTACTAGCTAAAAAGCAGCCTTACCAATTCTCTTTCATTTTCTTTCATTTTCCTTCATTTTCTCAACCATGTCTTCAACCAGTTACTTCTATTTTGGTTTTTCTCTTCTGTTATTGCTTCACAGCGCTGTGTCAATGGACTATGGGGCAGCTCTCACCAAGTCTTTGTTGTACTTTGAAGCTCAAAGATCTGGAAAACTACCTCCTAACCAGCGGGTGCAATGGCGAGGTGACTCGGCCCTAAACGATGGTAGAGATGCTGGGGTAATTTTTATCTCACTTCTATTGTTGTTTATATTGCTGTTTTCTAATGAAAAAATAGTTCCGAACACATAATTTTTACCATCACCCGATAATCACATGCATTAGTTAAACCTAAATTTCATCTTACCTGCCAGAGGATTCGAACTTATTATATATCTTTCCATTGTAGTGTTATATTGTTGTTTTCTAATGGCAAATCGTGGCAAACATGTATCTTTTAAACTCACAAATGCAATGTTTTGGAAAAAAGACTCGTGAGTTTATACAATGACCCGATAATCACATGCATAAGTTAAACCCAAATTTCATGTTACAGGATTAGAAATTATTATATGTGGGTTTCTATCTGCCATTGTTCGACCACTAAATCAACCGTTACATGTTTATTTATTTTTTTCTTAATTAGGGTTTTTATGATTATAACAGGTGGATCTGTTGGGAGGATATTATGACGCTGGAGACGATGTGAAATTTGGGTTTCCGATGGCATTCACTGTGACCATGCTGGCATGGGGTGTGGTGGAGTATGGGTCACAACTCCAAGCCAAGGAGGAACTCTCAAATGCTTTGGAATGTATCAAGTGGGGAACAGACTACTTCATAAAAGCTCACCCAGAGCCTAATGTCTTTTATGGTGAAGTTGGTGATGGTGATTCTGATCATAGCTGCTGGCAAAGACCAGAAGACATGACAAACACTAGAAATTCGTATAGGATTGATGAACAACATCCTGGAGCCGACCTCGCCGGGGAAACTGCAGCTGCTTTTGCTGCTGCAGCTATAGCTTTTAATGGGTCAAACCCAAGTTATTCTTCTCAACTTATCACCCATGCAAAACAGGTCTCTCTCTCTCTCTCTCTCTCTCTCTCCAATTGAGAGAATATTGAAAAGATCAAGAATTCTCACTATATCTTCAATTCATGGACTCAATTCAATTACAGTGGAACTTTCATTCACATTTTTTGACAACGAAAACGTTTATTATACTTTATGACTCATGATTTGGACTACCACATGCTTCCCACTCCTAATTTGGACTATCATATACTATCATAAACAATTAAATTTTCGCAATCAAAAGTATAATTTCGTTATACTTTTTGTATTAGAGGTCCTTACATATCATATTAACAATCAAAAAATGGTTGAATCTATTCAAAAGAAGTAAATGTAAAAGTGTTTGTAAATAGTCTCATAGAATATTGATATGTTCTGTGGTCATTCAATTGCAGCTATTTGATTTTGCAAAAAATCACCCTGGACAGTACCAAAACAGCATCTCAGTGGCCGGAAGCTTCTACTTAAGCAGTGGATATGAGGTAAAATCAAAGTAAATTTTTTCAATTCATCATGGTTGCTGACAGAGAGACACTATATAGCAGATATGATATATAATTACTATTTTATTATTATTATTTTTTTCCTCAACAGGACGAATTGTTGTGGGCAGCCGCATGGTTACATCGAGCTACCCAAGATAAAGGATACATGGATTATATCCAACAATCTGTAAATTCAGGTGGCACCCGATCCATGTTCTCTTGGGACGATAAATATGTTGGCACTCAAGTCCTCATTGCAAAGGTAAGGCCGTTTCTTAGCCTCCTATAAGTAGAGCTTGATCAATCAGTAGCTATTCATACAATAGCTTCATGTACGCTTGGACAGAGTAGGTTTCTAAGGTATGAGAAGTTACATTATCTAAAGTTATGAATAAACAGATTGATTTACGTTTAATCCAAAAAACTTGACATTACCCAAGTTTTCCATTACTGATCTCGTGTTTTAGAACCCCATCGATCAATAACTTTGACCTTACTAAGTTGTATCTTGATCTGATTCGGTCATTAACTTTTCAACTTGATACCATAGATTTAACTANTGAAGTGTTTATTGATTATATTGTGTTCGAATCGATACACAAAATATGTGAACTAGAAAGCCTAGATTGAGACCAATCTCTTTCCACTAAACCCAATACTCAAGGCTCCCCACATAAGACAAGGTTGGAGAGGGTAAATCCTTGGTCTATAAACCGATCCTTCAACTCATACACCAATTAAATTTGGACTTGCGCTTCAGTGGGAATTTGAACCCACACTAGAATTTGTCCAGCTAATCGAGGTCCGTTCTATCAACCAATCACGTTTTTTGTCGCCTAAGAGACTTAAATCCTTAACCTCATGAAAGTTGATCCTTCTCATAAAGCAATGGGTATCATTGGATAAAGGATCATTGGTCCGGATTGTCCATGTTATAACAGGTGATGCTTTCCTTCAGTCCACTCGAATTGCATCCCAAATTGTGCGGTTTTATTATTTTCACTGAATAAGTAGTATATAACACCTTATTCAAAGTAATGATATGTAAATGACGAAAATAATAACTCAAACAATTATGAGTAACTGAGAGAATCATGGAATCTATTTTGTGATTGCACATATTAAATATGATCTGAAGAATCAGTTAGCTCCTTAATCATGTGAGATAATTGTATTAAACACATCAATCATGGGATCTTCAACCCTAATTGTCTGAAAAAGTAAAATTTCTTTTTCTTTGTGGAGGTATGTCTGCTTCTGTGAATAAACCTGGAAGACCAAATACTGATTTTAAATAAAAATGTAATTTTTCCTTAAATGATGTGATATTATCATAATAGGATAAATTTAAATTTCAAATGTGTAAAAGTAAGGAAAATATTTATTGCAACGGTGATACCATGTCAGCATTATCACGTAGTAGCACCAATTAACAATGTATAAACAAATAAGAAAACGAACTTCACACAAATTAATAATTACTTGTCCGTGCATGTATGCGAATAATTACTCACTCTTCTACTATGTAAGTCAATAATTAATCGAGTGAGATTCATTTTATCCATTTATAATTTTATTAATGGTCGATAATATTACCGTTGAGTTGAATATTTCTCGTAAAAATAAAACTAACAAATATTATTGTAATAATATCATATATCGTTTGGTCTTTATTTTTTGCTCCTTTTTTTCAGTTAGTCCATCATTACTCACCATATATTGGCCTTGGAAGTAGGAACCTACTAGCTAAAAAGCAGCCTTACCAATTCTCTTTCATTTTCTTTCATTTTCCTTCATTTTCTCAACCATGTCTTCAACCAGTTACTTCTATTTTGGTTTTTCTCTTCTGTTATTGCTTCACAGCGCTGTGTCAATGGACTATGGGGCAGCTCTCACCAAGTCTTTGTTGTACTTTGAAGCTCAAAGATCTGGAAAACTACCTCCTAACCAGCGGGTGCAATGGCGAGGTGACTCGGCCCTAAACGATGGTAGAGATGCTGGGGTAATTTTTATCTCACTTCTATTGTTGTTTATATTGCTGTTTTCTAATGAAAAAATAGTTCCGAACACATAATTTTTACCATCACCCGATAATCACATGCATTAGTTAAACCTAAATTTCATCTTACCTGCCAGAGGATTCGAACTTATTATATATCTTTCCATTGTAGTGTTATATTGTTGTTTTCTAATGGCAAATCGTGGCAAACATGTATCTTTTAAACTCACAAATGCAATGTTTTGGAAAAAAGACTCGTGAGTTTATACAATGACCCGATAATCACATGCATAAGTTAAACCCAAATTTCATGTTACAGGATTAGAAATTATTATATGTGGGTTTCTATCTGCCATTGTTCGACCACTAAATCAACCGTTACATGTTTATTTATTTTTTTCTTAATTAGGGTTTTTATGATTATAACAGGTGGATCTGTTGGGAGGATATTATGACGCTGGAGACGATGTGAAATTTGGGTTTCCGATGGCATTCACTGTGACCATGCTGGCATGGGGTGTGGTGGAGTATGGGTCACAACTCCAAGCCAAGGAGGAACTCTCAAATGCTTTGGAATGTATCAAGTGGGGAACAGACTACTTCATAAAAGCTCACCCAGAGCCTAATGTCTTTTATGGTGAAGTTGGTGATGGTGATTCTGATCATAGCTGCTGGCAAAGACCAGAAGACATGACAAACACTAGAAATTCGTATAGGATTGATGAACAACATCCTGGAGCCGACCTCGCCGGGGAAACTGCAGCTGCTTTTGCTGCTGCAGCTATAGCTTTTAATGGGTCAAACCCAAGTTATTCTTCTCAACTTATCACCCATGCAAAACAGGTCTCTCTCTCTCTCTCTCTCTCTCTCTCCAATTGAGAGAATATTGAAAAGATCAAGAATTCTCACTATATCTTCAATTCATGGACTCAATTCAATTACAGTGGAACTTTCATTCACATTTTTTGACAACGAAAACGTTTATTATACTTTATGACTCATGATTTGGACTACCACATGCTTCCCACTCCTAATTTGGACTATCATATACTATCATAAACAATTAAATTTTCGCAATCAAAAGTATAATTTCGTTATACTTTTTGTATTAGAGGTCCTTACATATCATATTAACAATCAAAAAATGGTTGAATCTATTCAAAAGAAGTAAATGTAAAAGTGTTTGTAAATAGTCTCATAGAATATTGATATGTTCTGTGGTCATTCAATTGCAGCTATTTGATTTTGCAAAAAATCACCCTGGACAGTACCAAAACAGCATCTCAGTGGCCGGAAGCTTCTACTTAAGCAGTGGATATGAGGTAAAATCAAAGTAAATTTTTTCAATTCATCATGGTTGCTGACAGAGAGACACTATATAGCAGATATGATATATAATTACTATTTTATTATTATTATTTTTTTCCTCAACAGGACGAATTGTTGTGGGCAGCCGCATGGTTACATCGAGCTACCCAAGATAAAGGATACATGGATTATATCCAACAATCTGTAAATTCAGGTGGCACCCGATCCATGTTCTCTTGGGACGATAAATATGTTGGCACTCAAGTCCTCATTGCAAAGGTAAGGCCGTTTCTTAGCCTCCTATAAGTAGAGCTTGATCAATCAGTAGCTATTCATACAATAGCTTCATGTACGCTTGGACAGAGTAGGTTTCTAAGGTATGAGAAGTTACATTATCTAAAGTTATGAATAAACAGATTGATTTACGTTTAATCCAAAAAACTTGACATTACCCAAGTTTTCCATTACTGATCTCGTGTTTTAGAACCCCATCGATCAATAACTTTGACCTTACTAAGTTGTATCTTGATCTGATTCGGTCATTAACTTTTCAACTTGATACCATAGATTTAACTATGTGCAAATAGTTGAGAAACCCTATATCACATTCATATGTTTATATAAAATTTTTGGTGTTTCGGTGCAATGCACAGAATCTTCTCAAGGGCAAATTTGTAGAAGATGGAAATNTATGTGCAAATAGTTGAGAAACCCTATATCACATTCATATGTTTATATAAAATTTTTTGTGTTTCGGTGCAATGCACAGAATCTTCTCAAGGGCAAATTTGTAGAAGATGGAAAATTTGGTGAGTATAAAAGCAATGCGGAACAATTCATCTGCAACTGCATCCAGAAAGGAAGCAGCAACGTGCAAAGGACTAGGGCGGGGCTACTATGGTGGCAACCATGGAATAATCTTCAATACCTTACCAGTTCATTGTTTGTCACAACCACTTATGCCGATACTTTGACAGCCACACAAAACACGCTCCAATGCCCTGGTGGTTCAGTCACGCCTGAAGATCTCATCACATTCGTTCGATCACAGGTATATATGATATCATATTCTATTTCACTCACATACATTGACATAATTATTTTTATTCTTCTCTCAATACTACATCGCTATTAAACATTTAGATTATTTAGTCTTGCAAAGTGGTCCGTACTTACTCATTCCAAATTCCACGTGCATTGTATGCATCTGTATATATATTTTAAACACATATGACAAGTGCATTAACTAGAAATGTACATATACCATGCATGGTTTGGTGACACTTGACTAGCTTCAACTTGAATTTGTTTTGTTAGGTGGATTACATACTTGGCTCAAACCCTAAGGGAATGAGTTACATGGTTGGGTTTGGACCTAAGTATCCCCAGCATGTTCATCACAGAGGGGCATCGATTGTGTCGATAAAGACCGACAGTTCACCGGTGACTTGCAAGGGAGGGTTCGACTGGTTCGGTAGGAATGAACCAAACCCTAATGTTCTGGAGGGAGCAATAGTTGGTGGACCAGATCAGGGAGATGACTATACAGACTCAAGAAGCAACTACCAGCAAGCTGAAGCAGCCACAGCAAATACTGCACCACTCGTCGGAGTCTTGGCACGGCTTGCCTGAAATATTGTTATGTGGCCTTTTTTTTTACCAACTATTCTCAGAGTTCAAGGGATTAGTTGGTAAAAACCGGGATATCCAGCAAAAAAAAAAAATAGATGAACAAATGGAACATAGGTATATGAAACTATCAGTCAATAATTTAAACACAAAAATAAGTATTGGTTCAATTATAACAATAAATTAGACAAACAAAATATGATTAAGTAACATTATTTTACTTTAATGCAACTAATTTATACATTTGTGCGAAAGTTTCAGCCCACAATCTTAGACTTCTCCCCAACTCAAATTCAGGCATAGCAAGATGTAATGAATGGTTTCAAATTGATACCTATATTAAACAATCATCTACACTATACACTAAAATTTTAAAGGTAGCACATGAAAATCTTTTTAATAATTAGAATGGTGGCGAGATTTGAACACAAATTTTCAACTCTTATAATCATGTATGTGCACAAAAAGAAAAAAATATGAGTGTAACCGTTACACCACGTTAGCAATGTCACATAATGTAACTTTCCACAAAAATAAACAATTTTGCAAGTGAGTTTCATAAATATTCATAAACACCCAACCATAATGCATATAATTACCTCCATGATAAGAAATGGGTTTCATTTTATAGTTTTTTTATTAGATAGTTATACCACTTCAACAATGTTGACATAGTGTAATCGCTACACCCGATATTTACTCAACAAAAAGACCCTTTGATATTGTTATTTGGCTAATTATGGGCAATTGCATCATGACATCTATAACAATATGAAATCGTCCACCAATAAGAAGGGGCCGCTCAAAGAACATCAGTGTGGAATGTACTTTGGGTGAATTTATTAGAATATTCCATGTTTTCTTTACTTTATATTCCTATATCACTGCAGATATATATATATATATATATATAGATATAGATATAGATATAGATGATGAATCCACCCTCTTTTTCCTAATGACTACACTCCCTTACTGTGTTCGCATATATATATATATATATATAGAAAAAGGGTCTACCAAGAACACCATGTAAATGTGAAGAAAATATTGGGCAAGTGGATCCCACATGGGATAGTTGCTTCATGATATGAATGAGTAGTTATTTAATTATATTAGATTCACTTGTCCACATGTTGTATTATTATTGGACAGTTATACTATATCAGNATAATGCTGAACGCATTTAGGCACTTAGATCATAAAACACCACAAACTTCTAAAACCAACCTCCATAACCGCCCACGGCATTACACTAATAACATGATCCTTCTCACAAAATCTGTTACGATGATTGCAAAACTATAGTTCATATTGCATTCAATCTCTTGCAGATTAGTATTTTTTTAGAGTTTGACTTACCACTACCTTACACACACATTTACAATTTCACAAGTTTTCACGAAGGATTTTGTTACGTCCGAATTGTCAACTTGTCGTAATTGGTTTTCAAGATCAATGCTGCTACTGACTGATTGATGATCTGTTATGTTCCAATGGCAGCTATTTGACTTTGCCATAAACCACCGCGGCCAGTACCAAAACAGCATTCCTGTCGCCGGAAAATTTTACTCAAGCAGTGGCTACGAGGTAAATGAAACGTCCTTTTTAATTTTCACGTCCTAAATTCGATACCAAAGAAAAAAATAGATAATGATTTAATTCTAATTTTCTGATGTAATCACTCTTTCCTCTGCATTAGAAGTAGACGTTTTATTATATTGAGACTCGTTGTTAATCCAACATGGTCATAGATTATATCAAAAAATTATGTCTAGATACTCGAAAGAACATTGATGCGGATATATAAACTAATAATTTTGTTGTGTAAACGCAGGACGAACTGTTGTGGGCAGCCTCATGGTTACACAGAGCTACTAGGGAGAATACATACGCTGATTATGTCTATCAAAATGGAAATTCAGGAGGCACCAGAACCATGTTCTCTTGGGACGACAAGTATGTTGGGGCCCAAATACTTATGGCAAAGGTATGATTTTTAGGGATTGTAATCTTGACACTGATGTGTTAATATGATGTAAACATGGCATGAAAGTTACACAANATGGCAAAGGTATGATTTTTAGGGATTGTAATCTTGACACTGATGTGTTAATATGATGTAAACATGGCATGAAAGTTCGCTATCGCAAATAATAAATAAATCAAATTACTGTCAAGTACAAATAACTTGATTTTGCTAAGATAAATCCGGTAAACTAGTCATGTAAACAGAAAATATAATTTTGTGCTATTCCTTGATATGTTATTTTAAGATTCTTGGTCAATTTAAAGAAATTTTAATATACTTGTGCTAACATCTAAATCGAGTAGATTCTTATTTATACTTGGTCAATGAGTAGTGGGTTTAATTAAGGGAAATGGGATTTTAGTAAGTTTTTGATTTATTGATTATGCGTACGAATTTAAATACAGTGTATTACGGGACAAATTAAATTTATTTTATTATATTTGATTAATACTCACTATAACACTTAAAATAATACAATCCGAACATATCATGACACCGTGATGACTTGATATCATATGTATGCACTTATGTACCTATGTTCATCCATGTANTGGTCAATGAGTAGTGGGTTTAATTAAGGGAAATGGGATTTTAGTAAGTTTTTGATTATTGATTATGCGTACGAATTTAAATACAGTGTATTACGGGACAAATTAAATTTATTTTATTATATTTGATTAGTACTCACTATAACACTTAAAATAATACAATCCGAACATATCATATCATGACACCGTGATTGACTTGATATCATATGTATGCACTTATGTACCTATGTTCATCCATGTGACATGGTCTGAATATATATATGCTTCCAAGTTAAGACGCTTAAAATTGGTGTTTGGGTACGATCCACAGAACTCTCTCAATGGAAAATATGACGAATATGGGAATTTCGCAGAGTATAAAAACCAAGCCGAGCAATACATCTGCAACTGCATCGGAAAAGGAAGTAACAATGTGCAAAGGACCCCATCTGGGCTACTGTGGTGGCAGCCATGGAATAACCTTCAGTATGTCTCCACCGCAGTGTTCGTGACAACCACTTATGCCGATTACCTCGGTGCCTCAAGTTCTACTCTCCATTGCCAAGTTGGTGAAGTTTCACCCCACAATCTGATTAACTTTGTCCGATCACAGGTATTTAACATGAAAAACCAATGTCACTGTACTAAAAACTAACAGCCTAATCAGCTGAAATTACAACTCCAACCAATCAAGTTATGACTTTATGATCCCGAGTTAGGATCAATCTAAAATATTTGAGGCCAATCCTAATTTTTAAAACCCGATTCCAGAATCTTGACCCTTTTTTGAATAAAACTTAATCTCGTCTGATTGTAATATGTCCCAAATCTTTTCAGTATCCTAAATTTAACTCAACTTATATAGATACAAGATACTGAAATCTTGTTATATGTGCCACCCACATTTGGATTGTCTTGGATTTAGGCATCTTGACTAAACTTGATCAAAATTGACAACATCTCATATTGAGATAACCTGAATCCAAAACATTACCAGATCAGTGGTTCCGCCGTTAATCCAACAACTGCAGATGATTTAGTGCATATTTTGGTGAACATAGTTTTATCCAAACAGTAATTACCCACTTATATAGCAACTTGGCAATTTGTTTGGTTAGGTGGATCACATACTGGGCTCAAACCCAAAGGGCATGAGCTACATGGTAGGGTTCGGACAAAACTATCCAAGGAAGGTTCATCACAGAGGGGCATCAATCGTGTCCATCAATCAAGACAGCAGCCCAGTGAGTTGCAAAGGAGGTTATGAAGTTTGGTTCAACAAGGAGGCACCAAACCCCAATGTCTTGGAGGGAGCAATTGTTGGAGGACCTGATCAAGGTGACAACTTCTCCGATTCCAGGAGTAACTACCAGCAAGCCGAGCCCGCGACGGCAAATTCTGCACCGCTGGTTGGAGTATTGGCCCGGCTTGCCTGAAAGTTTGGTTTTGGTTCTTGGTTTTTTAGGTTTAGCTCGACTTTTACTTTGAACAAGTTATGTCAAACTCAACCATAATGTATGAGAATATATAGTTAGAAGTGGTCATAGCTAATTTAAGGGACATTGGTGTCTCATATTGATTAAAACAGTGAAGTATAAAGTTTATTAATTTGGTTGTTGGGGACTCTTGATGCTTAACTTTGGTTTTGCTTTACTGTAAATGACATGGTTAATAATCGGTAGAACATATATAGGACCTAATAATCTAACTTAATAGCTTGGTACAATAATGTGTCACGTAATATGGTGTTAATAAAAAAAAACTCGTTACAATAAGATCATTAAATTCTGTCAACTANGTGTCACGTAATATGGTGTTAATAAAAAAAAACTCGTTACAATAAGATCATTAAATTATGTCAACTAACATATCCTTAGTATTGGGTCATTACATTAATAAAAAATTATAAAAAAAAAAANAAAATTATAAAAAAAAAAAAACTACTTGGGACCAAACTTGAAGCTTTAAATCAGAGCTTATGTAAAGTAAAAGAATAGCTCAAGCTTAGNACTACTTGGGACCAAACTTGAAGCTTTAAATCAGAGCTTATGTAAAGTAAAAGAATAAGCTAATCTTTTATATAAAGTAAAAGAATGTACTCCATTGCCTTGCTTGTTTACATAACAACGCTAATTAGTACACTTTAACGTGGCAAGTTTATGTGGAAAAGGTGTGAAATTCTAGGATGAAGAAGGTTCCTTGATTTTTCCAAATGGTCCAATAGGATGATCACACCACGGCCACATGGTGTCCTAAATATCCCAAGTGAAAATATCTTTTAGAAATTGATTCGTTGTTATCTGCGGATTGGTGGGTCAAAAAGTTAGCAAAAACTAACGTAGTTTTCGGAGGTTTGTTGTCATATGAATCCCACAAACCTCGAAAGAGTGGTTCTTGACGTTTCTAAATAATTCTTATAGACCACAAAAGAAAACAGAAAGAAAAAAAAAGTGGTAGTGTTTCTGGATATTAGGGCTTTCTGGATCGCTCTTGTACTTCATTTCTTCAATCAGTAGCTGAAGTCAGGGTTTTTCTCCGGCATTCTATAATCGTTTTGTCCTGTGTGGTTGCTAACAAAATATTTTTCGTTTGGCATCTATACCCTGAAACTTCAAGCTTGATACAACTATATGTGGCGTGGTGTTTTACACTCTCTCTCTCTCCCTCTCTCTCTCTGTGTTTTGCATGCCCCTGAACAATGTGGGATTTGTTCAGTTCCTTGAGATTTGCAGGTGAGGAATCTCTGCTGTTAAAAAATAAGTAGTGTAGATTAAAACAGCACAGTTTTGATACAAAACGATGTCATTTTGTTAAACAGACATTTCAAAACGATGCTGNCACGTCCTAAATTCGATACCAAAGAAAAAAATAGATAATGATTTAATTCTAATTTTCCGATGTAATCACTCTTTCCTCTGCATTAGAAGTAGACGTTTTATTATATTGAGACTCGTTGTTAATCCAACATGGTCGTAGATTATATCAAAAAATTATTTCTAGATACTCGAAAGAACATTGATGCGGATATATAAACTAATAATTTTGTTGTGTAAACACAGGACGAACTGTTGTGGGCAGCCTCATGGTTACACAGAGCTACTAGGGAGAATACATACGCTGATTATGTCTATCAAAATGGAAATTCAGGAGGCACCAGAACCATGTTCTCTTGGGACGACAAGTATGTTGGGGCCCAAATACTTATGGCAAAGGTATGATTTTTAGGGATTGTAATCTTGACACTGATGTGTTAATATGATGTAAACATGGCATGAAAGTT